AGGTTCAAATTTCAGCGAGATAAAAATCACTGAGTGATTTCTTCTGTCTAAGCATTAATAGGTAACTCTATCCCATCGGGTAGAGGTAAGGTCTACGTATACACTATCCTCTCCAGACTCCACTTGTGGAATTATACTGAATCGTTATTATTATTGTAAGCATTAATAGGTAAAGCTTTTAGTTACCCGTGTTAGTGGGAGGTAATAAGTGTCCGATAAATTAGTTTGAGGTATACGTTTAAGATCGTAAAACAAAAAAAGTTACAAGTTTGACGGTGAGCAGAATGGCAGCCTCCACTGTCAACTGAGCAAAGTTGTAACTAAAAGCAAACATTCGGGTTATAAAATTCTCAATTTCTCAACTGAGCAAAGTCATAAAGCACCATCTTTTAGCCCTAATTAGTCATTTATAGATACCCTTTGCTATATTATTTGTTATAGATACCTTTTATGTTTTTATACAATGTATTTCATGTATTTAAGCAGTTGTATTCATTAATACAACCAAAAAAATAGGCGTAAAAACGAGAACTCCAGCTAATGGGTATCTGTATTCAAGCTGAATACAAATAAAATACAGTAACATTTTTGCGCAAATTCTGGGAAGTTAAACTTGTTAAAAACGGAAGGAAATAAATTCACATGATAGTCTCCTAATTTAACTCAAAGAAATAATACGATAAATAGGGTACTAATATATTCTATAGGTTGTAAAATTTCCTTTATTTTTCGTTTGTCTCAAAATACTGGACTTTTCTTTTGTGGTTGTCCCAAATAACAGAAATAATTTCTCTATTTGTATATATAGAATGTTGTACCTTTTACATTTGATATTGTATAAATTGAAATTTTCTGCCTTTTTCTTCATCTTATTAAAAATGGACATTGTTGCTTCTTTTTCTTTCGCTCTAGTATATTTCTGTATATGTAAGTTTTCCTCTCAATTTTACACCTTTGGTGTCATGTTTGATGTTTTCGAGCAGTTAATCCTGCTGACGCTGATTTAAAAGTTTTTTAAAAATGCCAAACAAAAAAGTAGAAACTAAAGCTAACTATTGAAGGCTGTAGCAATGAAAAAGTTAAACATAAAGGGGATTTTAACCCAAACAATTGAAGTGTTTTGCATTGAGGAAATAGAAGCCCACATAGCCCAAAATTATAATTTATAGTAACATCTTTTATGTAGCTTCATATTATGTAAACTTCATTTTCAAACATTTAAATATTTATATTTGAATTGAGACTGAAAAAAGAAGTGTCGTCTTTGTATTCTGTCCTCCATTCATTTTTAAAATTACAACTAAGGATATAGTAATTACGTGAGCGACAGAAGGGTGTTTAGGACCTTAGATAGCAAGTACCCTGAGGTAATAAGAGGTATGCACAAGCGCCCGGACACCAGATGATTATTTATACTGCAAACAGAAGGGGTGTCTTCGTATTCTGCCCTCCATTCATTCTTAGAACCAAGGATATAGTAATTACGGGCAGGGGTGTTAGTCGGTCGGTACGGTACGGTATTTAAATATTTCGATTCAGTATTTTCGATATTCGGTTTCTTAAAATGTTATATCAATATCGTACCTAATTAAATTCGGTATGATTCGATTTTTCTACTTTCGGTTTCGGTTTGAATACTAACTTGTGAATAGAGTCATAGAATGTAATATTCTTAATTAAAGTACTCAAAAGTACAAAATTAAAAACGTTTGTTGACCAAAGTTTTATCTAAAACCAGTAAATATCAACCCAGAGAGAGGAAATTATACATAAAGGAATAAATTATTCTTTTTGGTACCTATCATTTTCATTAATTACCAAGTATCGTATTTACAAAGCTAGGCTATACAACTCAGCCCTATGTACATAATTCCTACCTCTATTTCACTGAGATACTCCTATACTACTATCATATTGCTAGTTTGGAAATCTATTCTCCATCAATCCATGTAGCCCTTCATTTGTTCGTACATAACAAATATAGGCAATATCTCTAGCAAGTAAATCTCCGGATTTCTCCTTCTTCATGAAGATTCTGGCATTTCTTTCTATCCATATTGCATACACAAACTTTGCATATATCAGCTTCATTAGCCTCGCTTGCTTTGACTTTCCTTTCGTCTTCTGTTCTATCCAATCTTGCATTTGTCTCCATGTCTTCGCCTTTTGCCAGCCACTTTTTATCCAACTCATAAGAGTGCTCCATAGTCTGTTGCTAAATTCACATTCAGCAAATAGATGTTCCCTTGTCTCCTCTTCTTTTTTGCACAAATGACATGTGATATCAACCTGTTGTCCCCATTTTTGTAATCTTTTTGCAGTGAGAAGTCTATCTTGTAGCTGAAGCCAAGTAATGAAAATAGCTTTTGGTCGAGCTATATTTGTACACATAATATTCTTCCATGATACTCTTGGCAAATCTTCCATCATATTCACATATATTCTCTTTATTATGCTCTTTCTTCCTTGTACCATCTGTTCTGCATGCTCTAGTGACTCCCGAGACTTGAGTATTTTCTTCACCATCCAACTCGCTTGTTGAGGAATGACCATATCAGTTAACTGTTGTCCTTTGATATAATACTCATGGATCAATTTTATCCACAGGTTATCCTTTTTACTATGCAATTCCCAATAAATTTGATCATTAAAAATGTCTTGTTACTTACCTAGAGTTATTTGATAAACTTAGAGAATAAAGGAAAGCAAAATTTTAAAATTTTTATATTTATGTTATAATTAATAATGTGTATTGTGCAATATAATATATATTTCGGTACAGTATCGGTATTTCGGTATTTCATTTTAAAATACCAAATACCATAACTAATACCTTTTTTTAAAATTAAACCAAATACCATACCGAATACCAAAATATTGAATACCAAATACCATTTTTTTTGTTTTGGTACGGTAATTCGGTATTTATCAAATTATGCACAACCCTAATTACGTGACTATTATATTAGTGACAAGAGGTGTTGAGGTAGCAAGTAGGAGTGTCAATGGTTCGGTTTGGCCGGTTATTTTACAAAATTTATATCATATTATTATTCGGTTATTCTATTATGTATAACTAAAATTTTTCTTTTCAAAACAGTCCCAATCATGTCGGCTTCTTTTCGCTTTCGGTACGGTTCAGTTATTTTTTGGTATTTTTCTTAAATGTCATGTAACTGTCACTACTAAAAGTAGAATGCAATAACATACATACTTTTATAGGACTTAGCAAAATTTTCTAGACAGTTTTATTATTTAAATGGTGATAAATTAAGATAACGTGAAAGATGGCTGGAGTATAGTTCCATCAACTACTCTAGAGTAGCATAAAAGAAACTATGCAAAGACAAGAAAAGATAAATCACTCGAGTAGAAAGATATTAATTAAACAAGCCGGGACTCAAGAATAAAGTTTATAAAAGATTAAATATTCAAAAAGATAAATATAAATTATACGAAAGAAAACATATTCAATATATTAATGTAGTTTGCTACTCATAATCGCTAGAATACTTTGTGTTTTGCTAGTGATATGCTAGAAATAATTTAGTTTCAGTAGGAGTAGCTTAATAGGTTTGGAATTAGGATTTTGATTTTAATTACTTGTTGGCTTGTAACCATTTTCATAATTTTAAGGCATAAGGAAAAATTATTGCTTTATTATTCTTAAACTTATTATATAAATATATTTTTCACATGTAAATTATTCGCTACGATTTGATATTTTCGGTTTATTTTCATAAAATAAAAAATTTATCCTAATTATTGATAAGGTTGTAGATTCATATAAAAACCTACCGTTTTATTAAAATAAACCTAAAAATCGGTTCGATCCGGCACGGTTCGATCGGTTTAGTCGATTTTTAAATATCCATTGACACCCCTAGTAGCAAGTATACCAAGGTACGCAAAAGCGAGAAAAAATATTACACAATAGGAATATGTTACAAATAAAATATAATATTTACTATTTTTATAATATTTATTAATATTGTTTTCTTATACAACCAATCAAGTACAGTCAAACCTTTTTATAACAGTTTCATTTGTTCCGAATATTTTTGGATGTTATAGCGAAACGCTATTATAGAGAACATATATTATAACACAATATAAAAATTAGTTACAGAAAAATAAAAAAAATTCTTATGCAACCAATCAAGTACAGTCAAACCTCTCTATAACAGTTTCGTTTGTTCCAAATATTTTTGGATGTTATAACGAAGTGCTATTATAGAGAACATATATTATAACACAATATAAAAATTAGTTACAGAAAAATAAAAAAAATTCTTATGCAACCAATCAAGTACAATCAAACCTCTATATAACAGTTTCGTTTGTTCCAATTATTTTTGGATGTTATAACGAAGTGCTATTATAGAGAACATATATTATAACACAATATAAAAATTAGTTACAGAAAAGCTTGGCTTTTATAATGAAAGTGTTATTATATAGGATGTTGTTATAGAGAGGTGTATTTACAACTTGTTTGGATGATTGTTACATATCGTTTTATAATGTATCGTATCGTATTGTCTTGTATTGTACTGTATCATTTGATGAATATAATATTTGTATAAATTGTATTGTTTTGTCGTCGTTTCATGTCATCACGCACTAATAATATGATGAATAAACTTGCAATATTATAAAGAAAAATTATGATACGGTATATAAAAAGGTAGGGTAAATGATAAAATAAAATTATTTAATAATAACGAAAGGTGAGATTGAGATAAAAAGATAAGGTAACGATGTGACCACACCAAATCGATCGTTACATAAAGTGACACATTTTATCGTTACTTAACAACGAATTTAACGATACGATATAATAAAATCTAAGTAATAATCAAAATAAATATTATATTTAAAGTAACAATACTATACAATACAATGTAACAATCATCCAAACAAGCTGTTAGAGTCAATTTGACTTGGCAAAATGATACTAGTAAATGAATTTGAGAGGCCCACTTGGTTTAGGACGCCTTGGGCAGTGTATTTCTTCTCCCCAATTTTGGAGTCTTTTAGAATTGGGATTAAAGAGTTTTTACGGCTAGAGAGAGAGAAGCAGAAGCGGAAGGAGAAGAGAATATAGGAAGAAGGATGATACACAGGAAATGGAGTTTGCTGACAGGCCCCGCAGCTATTCTCGGCGGTATCGTCGGTGCTATCGTCGTCGCCAATTTTATCTTCGTCCAAAATGTATGCTCAGCTCTCTCCATATTTTAAATTTTTTTTCCCCTCTCCTGTTTGTTCTAGTTATTCTTTGTGAGGCCATTTCTGGATTTGTGTATGTCGTGTCATCCTTGCCCACTGGCCGTGCTAATCTTCTCTCTGTTATTTGGAATGATTGTTGAGGCTCTTTCATCAGTTCTTTTAGATCGGGATTAGATTAGGGTTTCTCGATATAGTCAATTTGGTAATCTTCAAAATGAAGAATTTGCATCTCAACCCAAGGGAAAAGGTAAATTTTGGTTTGACCGAATTTTCACAACTATTGTAATAGATCCGAGAACTTCAACCCCCCCCCCCCCC